CCAGCAGGGCCCCCACACTCTGTTCTCCCTTTTCTGGAGGTTTCCTTAAGCTTTTATTTTGGTATTTCCATTGATATCTAAATATCTGTTGGTGTGCTCCAGACATTTTCACTCAGGTAAATTCTAAATAAGTTTATATCACTCTCTATAGTCTACTTCGGCAACGCCCAGACTGCTGGCAACGACCGCCGCTCAGGCAGTGAGGAGGGGTCATTTCACCCCTGATGGTCACACAATCTTTGTTGTATATCAAAGATTCAATGGAGAGCTACTTTGACAGCTGGGACAGTTACAGGAAATTTTTCCCTCCACCCTTTGTGTGTTCCTCACCCGAGTGCATGTTTCCAAACATATCGGTGCGATTTAACACGAAGAAAAGGAGTAGAGGAACCAGGGCCGGTGTCCAGGTGCGACTGAGAAGATACCAAAGATTAGCTTTTTGGACCAATTCATCTACTGTCACCTTGTGTCGACGTTACACTTCAGTTCCCAGCCGGGAATCTATAGTCTGATGCTCACCTTGCGTCCCTCGTTCCACCTCCGTTTTGATGGCAGAGGTGATGTACCACTATGGATACTAACTTCAGCTAGCCCTGAAGTCCCCGCCCGGCGTAACAGGTGTAGAGGTGCGCACAGGTGTTTAATTCGAGTGCCACTGCAGTCAGCTGTTGACTGCACCAACCAAAGGTCATCAATCAGGTTTGCCCTGCTCAACACTCGCTCAATCACAAACAAATAGTTTATTTTAAACTGTCTTTTTATGAAGGAATCTCTCAACTTCATGTGTTTAACTGAGACGTGGCAACAAAACGTGGATTATATACATCTGAAGGAAATTTGTTTGAGTGGCTGCTCCGTCATCGGAACTCCACGTCTTTCGGGACGTGGCGGAGGTCTCGCTGTTGTGCACTAGGACAGATTCACATGCAGACTGATGAACTCGGATTCTTTTATCTCATTCGAGCTGCAAATGATCAAGGTCGGCTCTTTGCACACCGTTTATTGTATTTTAATCTACCGACCTCCCGGCCCTGCCAGAGTCTTTCTAACTGAATTTAACGACCTCCTATCATCCATTATTAAATTAGAGAAGGTGGTAATGTTGGGAGATTTTAACCTTCATATCAATATGGCTGCTGACTTCATGACTATCACAGTCTTAACTTTAGGCAGCATGTTTCTGGCCCTACACATGTAAAGGGTCACACACTGGATCTTGTTTTCTCCTTGGGTTTAAATATAAATGACATTGGTGTGGAAGATGTCCAGGTTGACCATAGCTGTCATAGCCTGTCAACGACGTTGATTAGCTGCGTATATACGAATGTGAATCGCGTGATTGGCTGGACTTTGGGATAAGGTGGCATCGTTCTGATCCCATACAGGAGCAGCCAGTCACTGACTAACACTGCAAAACAGAATTGTTAAAGTTTCAATTTTAATTTCAATTCAGGTTAGATTTTTTTTTGTTGTTGTTGTTGTGCGCAATGCAGATTTTCTGTGCGCAGAGACCGTGTCAGCAGTGCGCAATTGCTCATGCGCGCAGCTTAGAGGGAACATTGGTCCTGGGTCTGCCCCGGGGCCTCCTCCCGGTAGGACATGCCTGGAAAACCTCGCCCAGGAGGCTTCTGAGTGCTTCTTCGTTATCAAGTAAAACCCTGTGCCAGCTGTATGCACTCATGTTATTCTCAGAGCAGAAAAGGAATGGGCGTTCAACATAATCACCATTATCCCGCTGTATTTATCGCTTCCTTTTAGGCCTGGAAGTCTGTAGAGCAGCGGCAGTCATGCCTCTCTAATAACTCAGAGTCCCGAATCAATTTTTGGAACATTCTGTTTTTCTTTCCAGTCGAAGCAGTAATTTCACAAGCAAACCAGCTTGTAAAAAACGATTTTTCCAAAAATCGGCTCATGTGAAGTCAGCAATAAATTAACCACACTCGGTGGTGACATGAGCATATGAGCAAACATCACCATGTTTCTGTCTCCACATCATTAAGTGTAAAAAGGTTGTATCGCTCGTTATTGGTGTCATCTACTGTCACCTTGTGTCGACGTTACACTTCAGTATGCCACAGGAATGGTCTAAAAAAGAGGAATGTTAACTAAGTGCCTCTCTAGTGGCAAGTAAAAAATGTATAACAAAGAAATGGCTACTACAAGATGTACCAACTTTATCATTGTGGTGGGAAATAACACTTGAGATTTATAGGATGGATGAGTTAACAGCATATGTGAATAACAGAGAAAGTTGTGCTGGGGGAAGTGGGTCCAATACACTACTATACATAAACCAAATTTCAATTCAATTTTATTTATATAGCGCCAAATCACATCAAAAGTCACCTCAAGGCGCTTCATAGGTACAGAGAAAAACCCAACATATGACCCCCTATGAGCAGCACTTTAAATTTAGCATTTAAATCAGCTGTGCTGGATCAAGGACACATCTAAAACCTTCGGGACCTGAGGCCTGGAGTTCCCCCACCTCTGTGTTAAAGGGATGGTTGGCTCAGCAGAGCTCTGACTGTTTGTCAGCCTGGTTACAGAGCTGAAGAGAAACCTGGGGTTGTTCTTAGGGTTGTAGTGAGATGTTCTGGCTTTGTGGAGGGCTTTCTTATAAAGCAACAAACTATTTCTCCAGGCTAAATGATGATCTTCTAAATTTGTGACACGTCATTTCCTCTCCAGCTTACGAGTCATCTGCTTTAACTCAGTAACCAGTAGGTGGCAGACAGTCACTCTGACAAATAAGTGACTGGCCCAGTAATCCCTTACAAAAGTACCACAGGCCAGTTATGGTACCAGAAGCCGTCAGTAACACAGAACGGCTGTTTTGCTGTGTTTCAGAGCAATAAACCTCAGTGTGCACCTGGATGAACCTCGTCCTCCTTCAGTGTGTAACAGTGACAGTAAAACTAAGGCACAGCAGTGAATGTTTGGAGGGGGCTCGATGAACAGAGGGAGAGGTTGGTTAATGGCGGTATGGAGAAGCTGCAGTTGGGGACGGTGAAACAGATTGATTCCTCTTCTAGTCTTAAATACTGGCTGCAGATTGGCCTGGATCTCCCACAGGTGAGTATAACAGGTGTAGTGACGAGGGCTCCGCCCAGAGGCGGGACCACAGGGACACCATGGAAAAATCCAGATGACTCAGCCGGCCCATGACCACTTCTCATTTGAGACTTTTTTTAACAGCAGATCCTTAAACGTAGTTACAGCACTTTCAGAAAGACACCTGCTGTGATGAGTCCTCATGTGTAATCCATTATTCTAAATGTAAAGGCTACTGTCACTGATTTTCAACATCTGGATGTTAAAATCATCTACAATTAATATTTTTATCAGAACTGAGCACTAAATGAGATAAAAGTATGACAATCAGAAACTCGAAGGCCCAGATGGACGATCGATAACAACAAGACAAATGTTTATTTTTTGCAAATTGTAATATTTTACCTACAAATTGATGTGAAATATGATGCCTGCAAAGACCTAAGTTGTGGATTTTAGCTAGAACAGCATAATTAATATCTGTGTTATTCCTCTGACCCTTTCTGTTGACAGGTCCTCTGGTGCTGAGGTGGATTCCTCCTGTGATTTAGCCCACTTACTTACAGAGACAGAGAGACGGATTTCCTTCTTTTCCACTGTCTCATCCACACTTTCACACACAGCTGGTGATGCTTAAGACCACGGACTCACATTTTTGGATTCTTATTTTCTTTTATAACCCAGAAATGTTTGGCTCTACCCTTCAGATAAGTTTTTACTGTGTACAATAAGCTGCTGTGTCGGATGTTCTCCTCGTGTGAATGGTGTTTGGGATTTTCATGGAAATTCAACTTGTGTAATCAGATTTTTCTGGAATCGTTTCAAAGTCAGGTTATCAGGGTGCACCCGACATTGAGACCTGAGGACTAACACGTGGCCAAGTCTTTATGTTGGTAGTTTTATGTATTAAAATGTTTTTGTCATTTTCTTTTTCATCATTGTGGCATAAAAACCTGTGGTTGTCAAATCTGTGGTTTGGTTCACTAAAGCTGGTTTGTTCTTTTAAATCTCTGTGTCTCATTTAAACACACGGCTGTGCTCCTGTAATCAAACCTGTTGGTCCATTAATATAATCTATTCAATAATTGTCACCACTGTGTGACAAAAAACAACAAACCTGCAGCAGGAGAATAAAAACTGTTCAGGGTTCAAGGAAACTAGATGAAAACACGAGGAATGTTTAATTTTCCTGTAAATCTTTCCTCTATTTATTGTCCTTATATAGTTTGCTATTATTAACACACACAGCATCACAAATAATTGTTAAATTTAAAAACTGCAGTCACAGTTTCTCAGATTTCAGACCGGGCCACCAACTGCATTTTATTTTTATTTTATCCATTTTATTCTACTGCTGACCATCATCCACCTTTTACCAGCTTGTCCTTCATTTGCTTTTTGTATTTCCAGCGTCTAAAATTTCTTCCCGTCTTGTTTTGTGTGTTTGCTCCTTGAATTCAGAGCTCTGACCTTCTGTCCTTCTCTCTGCTGTGATTCTGTCACAGCCACTTCTCTCTGACTGGGATTCATCAGTAAATCTGTGAAATACTGACATGTCTGAGTCCAGCTTTCGCTCACGGATGATGTGATGTTTCACTGCTATCACGGTCCTGCTCTGTGATAGAGCCAAGACTCATATTTCTGATGACTGTAAAATGACTGTAGGTTGATTTTTAGAACAAGTCACTGAAAGTCGCTCAGTTTAGTTTTAGATTATAATTATAGATCTGTATACATGTACCAAATAAATCATTGCGTTATGGAGTAAATGGGGACCTCTATATTATATTTACCTGTAATGATCCATTTTAATGAAGCTGAGAGTTCAGTGATTCACCAGGTTTACTCCCCCCCCAAGTTTAGGAGGATATTATGAAATATGCTAAAATACATTTTAATAAGAACAGACAGCAATAAGGAAGACAAACATTACTGTTCATAGTGTTGAAACTCATTACACAAAAAAATAAAAAATAAAAAAACAATAACACTATTCAGCAGCTCTTCTACATTTTACAAAGTTTATAATGTTGCCACAGTTCATATCTGAGTGGTGAGATCACATTTGTTCCTGTGTTGATGTGAGGAAGAGTTAAATTTCAGTGTGTGAAGCTGGGAGAAGTTAATCTGTTTCTGCTCTGATCAGAGGAAATGAGACCTGCTGAAGCCTCTGACACACTGATCAGTTTCATTGCCTTTTATTTTTATAGACCCAGAGCTTTTTCAAACACCCTCTGAGCATCTTCAGCGAGCTCACTGAGGATAACATTCAGAATTTTATAAGTTGTAGAGAAAGAGAGGCTCATAGCTACTGGAATTCCAATAAACGGAATAAATCTGGATGCTTCCTCTGCTGCAGTTAATGCAGCTGTGTGTCCCACTTGGGTCATGACCTTCAAGAGGAGCTCTTCAGTTATTTGTGCTGCAGCCAGTGGTGAAATGATGACAGCACACAGATCAGCGTAGGGCACACCTGTTCTGGCAGAAAGTCTCTTCAGAGACGGGACATCGAGACCAAGCGCAAAAACATAATCTGTGACAGCACCAACCAGAACAGCAGCATCAACAGCAGCAGAAACACCAAGAACTTGATCAGGTCCAATTGCAGACACAGTGGCGTAGTATTTTATTTTGGACTGAAAAGCTTCTTTCTTCTTGATGATGATCTCTGGGTTGATGTTGGGCATGACAAGCAGCAGAGCATCTCTCTTCTTCATAGGAAGTTCTCTCTCTAAGGTATCTTGTAAAAGAGAGAAATCACACCAGCGCTGCTTAAAACTCGACACCAGGAAGACCCGTGGAGACTCGATGCCTTGTAGACCTGTGTGATAGAGAAACATGTTGACATGGTTAAATTTATAAAATAATATCATAGGATCCTGTGTGGAAGGAAGAGTCGTGGATCCAATATGCAGGACTCAAGAGAAGCTTTGATGCTGAATTTACAGGTCAGAAGATAAACTACAGCAGAAACCTAAGAATCAGGGAACTCTCCAAACAGAGCTCACAGCTGGAGCAGATATGATGACAACATGACAAAGAACAGTGGGAGAAACAGTAACTACAGTAGTTAACTGATGATACAGGAAGTAAACACACACATGAGACTGTCAAAATAAAACAGGAAATAACACACGGACTCTGACAAAGACACGTGAGCTTGACACTGGGACTGGGAATGAACAGACATGGAGACACATGACAGACTGGGTAGACAAAGGATGAAACACAGAGAGAAGAACATGGGAACAGGAAAGGGAGAAACAAAGAGTGGGACTAGAGACGTACTAACAAGACAAGAGAGGGAACACGGAGACACAAGGACACACCTGGGGAGACCACGACCACAAAGGGAAGTAACACCCATGGCAGGAAACTAGAAGCATGGATAACTGAAGGAGGGAGCACTAGGAAATAATACCAAGCAAACAAACTAAACAATGCAGAACACATAAATCTAGAAATAAATGAGGAACTCATATAAACTCAAAACACTGTGTCACTGACCAAGGAATAATAATAATAACAACAATAACAACCAGTGATGGTTAAAAGCGTTACAAGTAACGGCGTTACTTTTTTCAGTAACGAGTAATCTAACTAATTACTATTCCTATCATTACAACGC